GGAGCCGGGGGGCCGAGACCCACCGTGAGCATCTGGGGATGGCGGCCTGGGGTCCGCGGGCAGCGTGCCGGGGAGGGCAGGATTTTCCCGGGGCTGCCTGCGTCACCATGGCGATGCGCAGTCCCACGGGAATTAATGAGTCTGGAGCGGACTGTGAATCGTTTGGGGCGGGAAAGAGATCGGCGTGGCCAGGTAGAGGCTGGTTTTGCTCCCTGCCCATGCACCTTGTCTTCGTTGCCTCCCCCCGGGTGAGCAGGACGCTCTCGGTAGGAGGATGGAAGGAAGGTGGAATCCTGAACACCGTATATTTGGGATTTTTTGGTGAGTGGGTATCATGGTGCTCCAGGCTGTGGCATGGGACTGTCCCCACTCCTGGTGGTCTGTAGAGCCCAGCTTTGGCTTAGCTTTTTCCTTACGCTGGCTCACCCAGCCTTGAGGGAACCTCCTGCCCCACGCCGGTGTCTGTCGCTGGCATCATTTCCAGCCAAGTGCTTCATCAGCTCTGGCCAAACCCACAGCCGTGGGGCGAAGGGCAACGCTTTGAGCCACCGGAGATGCAGCAGGAGCCAAACACGGCGGTCCTGGGGGCTACTTAGGGCCTGGGGAGACCTGCCAGCCCTGGGGAACCCCAGGAAGCCACCTCAATCGCCTGATGCAATCCCGGCCGATGCGTGGCAGAGCCTTGCAGGGCTCGTTTGTGCCTCTCCAGCCGGCGTTTGCATGCAGCGGGAGGTGGGGACTTTTGTTTGTGTCTTTGTTGTGGTTTTTTTTTTTCTTTTGCATCTCCCCGGAGGTAAAAAGCGGAGCGTGCTGGGAGATGAGGTGTTAGCAACAATTTATGTCGGGAGGTTTGCTGTTTTTCATGCCAGCCCTGGCTCGGGGATATTTATTGTGTAGTGGGGTAGGATCTGGCGCTAATCCATTGAAGAACTGGGATAAAAAATGATGGTGGAGACAGATGATCGCAAGGAGGAGGAGGAAGAGATGCTGTTTGAAGAGCTGAGCCTGGTCCAGGGTACCTGGACCCCGTGGTTTGTTATAGTCGCTGAGTGATGCTTAAACACCCCTGAGCGTATGCACCCCAGCGCAGGTTTTGGGATGCGCCTGCACCCAGCCCGGCTCCTCGCAGCGTTGCCTGTGTTGGCAGCGGAGAATCGATACAAAGCCAGAATAATTGCTGCTCCTCGGTAAATGTTAATGATTATTTTACTTGCATAAAATAACCGGCCTATTAAATCAAAATGCACTGGGGTTTAGGCAGCTGTTATACAGGGGCTTAATTAATCTGAGAAAGAATGAAGTTACACAAAATAACTGGCTGCTGCTCGCCCAGGCTTACAAATGGGATCTCCACTGGTTGTCAGCAACATCCCCCTGGTTTCCACCAGCATTCTGCACCCCCAAACTCCAGCCATGCTGTGGCACTGCCTCCTAGCCCAGCCTCCTCGGCTTTCCCGTGGGCATCTCCATCTGAAGCAGCTTTGGTGGTCTCTAGCACCAGTCCTTGGGCAAAATCTTGGCCAGGGCTGACCGTGCTGGGACATTGAGGTCTTTTCCCAAAGCAGCACGTCCCGGCAGCATTGAGGTGCTGTCTGGAGCAGCTTTCCGACGGATTTATTTTTAACTCGCAGCCTTGGATCGAAGAGTGGAAATTCAGTGATTTTTTTTTTTTTTTTTGTAGTGGGGAAAGAATTGTGGAGTCTTTATGGTTTAGAAACAATGTTTTCATTCCAACTTTATGTGCAAGTTAATATTGTTTCGATTGTTTATAGTATCAGTAAGTCATGTGTTGGGATGAGTTATTAAGTTTTTCTATATAAAACACCAGAAAAGTGCTTTCAAGGGGTGATTAATTGAAAATATCCTGTGGAAAATACCATAGAAATAATGGGCACTTTTCCTGTGATACGTTCTCAGTTTAAGTGTGGTTTCCAGGAGAAAACTTTCAGCCCCTGATGGATCGCTGACCCTGGCTGCATCCTTCCAAGCTTTCCAATGCAGCCAGATTCAGCATCTCCCTTGGAGGACACATCCCAGGTTGCTGTTACTCTTGCACGCTGCCATCAGCGTTCGCATCGCTCTGTCCTAGCAAAGCCGGTCTCCTGCCCACCTTGTCCTCCCCCTTTGCCCTTGCAGGATGCAGGGCTGCAGGGCTGCTGCCGGGAGCAGGGGGTTTGGGCTTCCCAGAGCTGTCTCACCAGGTTGAAATGCAAACACACCTTTGGGACTTCGGCTTTCTGGTTTTGCTGTTCGTTTCGCAAGCGGGATGGGATGTAGAGGCAAGGACCTGCGCTTGGCACCAAGGGATGGGGAGGGATGGGATGTCAAGCTGGTCCTTGCGCTCACCTGCACAACCCCGTCCCATTCTCCGGGCTGCTTTCACGCTGGTTCAATCTTCTGTCTCCTTTTTAACTGCCCACCTGTGTCCTTGCTCTCCACATGCATCCTTTCTCCTGCCTTGGCCCCATCTCATGCCCCGGAGTTGTGCCGGCGGCTGCTGGATGGCCATGGCCATCCATATCATGGATGAAATCCCCTCCACCCCCAGCTCGCCATGCCAGGTCTCCCTGCAGCAGGAGCCTTCTCATCTCAAAACCCCACGGGTGGAGCCGGGGGCTGCAGCTGGACCTGGCAGGAGGAGGCATATGGGCTCCTCGGGCTGTGATGCCTTCCTGGGGGTTCGCTTTGCCTCTGGAGTTGCTCAGCAATGCTGCCCATGAGCCTTACACGCGTGCCAGGGAAAGGACCTCACCCCCCGGCCTTGTTCCCCCATCACTGCCAGCCTGAGCTCCGGGCACGAACAAAGCCTGCGTCTCGGCTGCCTTAGAAACCACCCAATTTCAGCTCTTTTTTCTTCCTTTCCAATTCCCTCAGGGAAAACTCTTTGAGTTTCTGGCCACAGCCAGGAGGGCTGGAAACATCCACAGCCTTCAGTCACTTCCACCACCCAGGCTGGGGCAGATAACTCCCAGCCAGGGCTGCTGGGCTTGGGGAGATGCTCTGACCTTCCGCAACGTCCCGCAGACACCGGGTGCCAGGACTTGAGTGGGGATTTCTCCCTCTGCCCAGACCGCTGCCCTGGGATCTCCTCTGTCTTTTCGGGGGTGACTTTTCTCCCCCTCTCCCTGCAGTCGGTGAGGCTATTTAATTCCTCCTTCCCTTGACACCGCTGGGGAAGCAGATCTTAGACTCGGTTCGGGTGGATGAGCTGGAGCACACCACCCATCGCCCCTCGCCAGCGATGGATGCGTCGCCATGGAGGAGGCGGTTTCCATGGTGACCGTTGCCATGCCGATGGCTACCGGTGAAGGGCCTCGGAGCATCCCGGGGAGGTTCACCAGCCTCTCCCCTTGGTTAAAGATGGATTGATTTACAAGGGTCCTTTCCTTCCGCCGTGAAAGCCAGACGCTCGGCAGTGAATGCCACTTTTGCAGCAGCAGCACATTTCGGGTTGGGTTTCGGGAATTTTAAAGAGTCTCTGGAAAGCCCTGCCACGACGTGGGAACACCCTGAAAATACAGCACCCTCATCCTCCCCGCCTAGGGAAGGAGGGATGGTGCAAGCAATGCTGTACAGGGAATTTAGGAAGACCCAAACCAGCAGGTCCCCGTCCCCCAGGACGTGTACAAAGATGTAGAGGTGTCTGTAGGAGGGTGTTTGTGCCATACATGATGGTGGTGGGCAGGTCTCCTCTGTGCCTTGGTTTCCTCATCTTTTAAGTACCCAAATCCTCTGGTCTACACAGAGAGCTGCTCGTGGGAGGGCTGAGTGAGACCCTTTTGCTGAGCTTTACCTTTTTTTCACCTGTAAAATGGGGTCACCCACCTTGATAAAGGGAGAGAAGAGGGAGGGATGGGGAACACGCTGTGCGTGCGGGTTAGATGAGCACAGGCGATGGAGTGGGACTGAAGCCTCTCTAATCTCCCTGCTCAGCTCCGATGGTGCTAGGCCAAAGGGCCTGAGCTCTCGCTCACTTTCCAAGGCTCTTAGCGGAGGATTTGGGTGTGATTTGTGCTGCTGTGGCCCCTTGGCTGCCGTTCCCGGCTGTTCCAGCCAAGCTGCGGAGCGGAGGCATCGAAGGGGACAGCGAGCGGCCGGGTGGGCGCCGTCGCCTGCCCATCGTGCTCAGCCCCGCGGCGGCTGTGGGAGCAAAAGGGTCCTCTGGGATCGAGTGGGGGTTATTTTTCTTATCCAAGCTCAATATAGTGGCCATGTTACATCTAGAGCTGCTGACATCCAAATCCTTTGGGTCTGGCACTTATTTTGGGTCATTTAGAGCGCTGGAGGGATGTTTACTGAGATTTGACTTTCTGGCCCTGCCCTATGGAGACTGCTTTGCATCAGGGCTTGCTTTTATAGCAGCAGATATATGACCTTTCTGGATGTTGGAGGAGTGGGAACAGGGCAGGCGATTGGGGTCTGGATGGTGCCAGAGCCAGATCCTGGCCCAGGCTGCCCCCGTGGCTGGCAGGGCAGTGACCGGCTCATGGGCTGAGCTGTAGGGACGTGACACGAGCAGTTCACTTTCTGCAGGACAGTTCGGAACGTGGCCCAGTGGAGAGCCAGCACCTCGCAGGGCACATTTAAACCTCTTCTGCTCCTTTTCACCTCCCATGGACTTGGACGTCGCCAAAGGTGATGCAACCCCCTGTGCCCAGCCGGCATCTTGGGCCCTGGTGCCTCCAGCAGCTTTGCCTTGACCCCTGGTTTAATTTCCCTAATGAAGCCTGGCTGGGGGAAGCAAGGCTGATCTGGTTAGCGAAACCCCCTGCCAAGAGCCATTAGCTGGGAAGTTGTAATTGCATGGATGGGAGCTGCTCTTCCTTGGCTCGAGCTGGCTAATCAATGGCCCTCGGTACCCCGCTGCAGGCACGGCAGGGCAGGGGGGCACCCAGACCAGGACGAGCATCATGCTGGGGTTTCCTCCCTGCCCTGAGGAGCTTCTGCCTGCCTGGATGCCCGGAGAGAGCTGCACAGACGACCTGGGATCCTGCAAGAGTGTCCCCCTATCCCAACCACGAGAAGAGATTGATCAAGGGGGTGGATGTGGCTTGTGTGTCTCCCAGCCCTAAGAGGCACGAAATCTGTGCTGTGGAAAACCCCCTCTTGGGACTTGCAGCCCCGTTCCTCATGCAGTGGGGTCAGGAGAGTCCCTGACACCATCCCTAGGGACCAAGGGCTGCGAGGGACCGACCCAGCACACCCAGGGTGTCCTGCCAGAGGGCACCCTCCAACCTTGCGCTGGCCACACAGAGTCTTCTGGGTCGGGAGGAAAGTCTGGATGAAGTTTCTCTGTTGGGACAAATCCAGGCAGCTGCATCTTTGCTGCAGTGGAGGCTGTGATGGATGGGGAGGCAGCCGGAGGTCGGGAGGTGGGAGCTGCCGTCCTCCGTGATTTGTGATTTCCCGGGCTGGCAAAATCACCATTCCTCTCCCCTTCATCCCGGCCATGCAAGGGGGGGCAGGTCTCTCATTGCTGGGGGGGAGGCGGGGGGCCATGCACGACTGCGGGGCTCGGTGCACGCAGAGCATTAATGATCTAAGCAGCAGTAAATCCAAATAAACACCGACTATTCCCAAGATTTATTGCATGAGCCTGACCTAATACCATCAGGGCTGCAGCTGGGGCAGCCTGGCCGGGAGGAGGTTTACGTCAGTACCTCGGGAGTGAAGCAACATGGGGGCTTTTTGGGATCAGCCATGTCCCAAACAATCCCCCTCTGCACCTGGAGATGTTTCACAAGTGTTTTTCAGTAAATCTTTGTGAAACTCAGTGGGCTGGGGCTGTGCTTGCTGCAATCAGGGGGTCCCCCCAGTGCTTGGTCCTGGCTGTGTGGATATTCGGGGTTTTATGCTGGGCAGATGCAATCCCAGGATGAAAGATGCTGGAGAAGAGCAAAGAGTTGCCCAGCATCTGTTTGCTGCTTGCCGTGGTTTTCTATCGCCAGCTCCTCCTGCGTGCAGGAGCAGCTCAGGAGCAGTCTCCGGAGACTTGCTGACAAGCAAGAGAAGGGAAACTCTCTGCCATTCCATTTTAAGGCCTGTTTCACCTCCCCTGAGCAGCAGGAACGTTGCAGCTTCGCGAACCTTGCTGTGCAACAGCAATGTGGTGCCTGGTCACGCAGGAGCTAGAATTACATGCACTGAGCTGGCCAGGCAGCAGCTGGAGCTGGGCTGCTGGCGGGCTGCCCTGTGCCACGGGCTGAAGTCCCTCCTCGGTGTAAACTCCACTGATCGCTGCCGATCCTCTGGAATCCACTTAGGGCAAAACTTGGCTGAGAAGAGCTTGAGCAGAGCTTCTCTGCTCTCCTGCAGGCTGGCGTGTGAGGGGCAGGCGTGGGAGAGATGTCTCTCACGTCGGGGGAGTTGTCTCCAGAGAGTGAGTTTTGGCCCTGCGAGGTGTTTTATTGCTGTGAAGTTGTTCCCGCTGCAGTCGGCAGCTTTGGGAGATGGATCCCTGCGGGGCTGTGGCACGGATCCTGCTCCCTCAACCTGGAGGGAGCGGTGGTGTTTGCACAGCGCAAGGGATTGTAGATCTGGGGAGGAGACAGAGCCAGAGGAAAGGCTTCCAGCTCCAAACATCTGCATCGTGTCAGGGAGCCGCGTGCTGCAGGTTGGAGCACAGCGTCGGTCGGTGACCCTGGGAGGATGATGGAGCTGGGCACTGGTGCCTGCGGACTCCTCCTTGGTATGTCCTGAGCAGGGAGGGGGTTGCTGGGCTTGGTTACTGTCTGAGCAAAATATGGGGGTGCTATTCTCACGGGAAGGTTTGCTTTTGAATTTGGGGCTGGACACTTCTCACCGGCATCTACCCGTTTGCCCTCGCTGCATCACTTCAGGCTCTTCTCCTGGGCAAAGCTGATCCAGGACGTGCACTCGTTCTTCTGAGTCTCTCCACCCTGTGGGATGGATGGATGGATGGATGGATGGATGGAAGGATGGATGGGGGCTGTCATGGCATGCTGGGGCCATGCGCTTCCATTTTAATTTCCTGGTCCAAGCACAGGGAGCCAGGGAGTCGGTGGTTGGAGCCGCCTCGTCTGGTTCCAATTTAAGGGAGAAACGGGCTTGATGGAGCTGGGCCATGTGGCTCCCATTATGGCGAGGCTTTGTAGGTCACACAGAGAGAATCCAGCCTTCAGGGAGCTCACCCGGGTTAGCTGGCAGGGGTGGTCTGTGGAGCGCCTGCACAGTGGCCTCCTCATTTCTTAGCGAGCCTCAATATTTTTGGTGTAAAAAAATCAAACGGCAAATAAGAGCAACTCCGAATGTTTCTCCCTCCCACCCCTCAAAGCTTGCCATTTTTCCTTGCCCTCCCATCGGTTTTGGTGGCCTGTCTCGTAATTTATGGGCTTTTATGTGCGGTGCACCCCATCAGCCTTCAAATGAAGCAGCCCCTGCGTGTCCCCCGAGATCTCCTGGTCCCTGGTTTCCCTGCAGTGCTCACAGGGAAAGAAGTCCTAGACAGACCAGTGAGCAAGCTCCATAGCTCCATAGCTTTGTCCTGCTGACCCAGGAGGGACTTTGCCACAGAGGTTTTGGAATCAGTACTGGGGAGTCATGGAAAACTTGCATGGTGAAACCAAAAGTGGTTCTTGGGGTCTTTTGCTTCTATCTATCCACTGCCTTCTGCCTGGGCTACAGCAGATCCCATCTGGGCATCTATTTGTTATTGCATTTTGTTGTTGCATGCCAGTTTATAGGTGAGACATCACTTATTGAGCAAAGTCACTTGCACTGACCCTCGGTGCATCAGTTTTTCCCAGCTTTTTACCATCTCCTTTCCAGGAGTTGAAGCCATTGGTGCCCAGCACAGCTGCTCTGTCGCTCTCCTCCTCAGCTGGACAGGGCAGAGGAAACATAATGAAAGGCTCATGGGTCAAGATAAAGACAGGGAGATCACTCAGCAATCACCCAGGAATGTGCTCACGCTGTCACTGGGGGCATATGACACAAGTGGTACCTCTGCAGCACCCCAGTGACTCTACAGGCAGGGTTTGGGCAGCAGACATCTCCTTGGCTTGGGCACCAGGACAGCAATCAGCTTGCTGCCCCTGGGAAGTGTCCTCCCAGCCCCAAGCTTCTCACCGCACCCGAGGGCTGGGTTTTCTCTCCCTTGCCAGCCGATGGAGTCCAGGAGAAGACCTATGGGGACAAAATGCGAGTTAAGTCCCAAAAGTCTAAGTCACGGGACCTTCTGACTTTTCAAAACCCTTTTTTCTTCCAATCTGGAATGAATACAAAGAAACTCGAAGCTGTTGTCAAGAGGTAAAAAGCTCCAATGGGTGAAGGGGACCCTTCAACCCCTTTATTTTAAATTTAAGCCTATCCTGGCTTGTTACATCTTGAAACATCTGATGCTATCTTACAGATCAAAGCCTCCTTGTTTGGGCTGTAATGAAGTGTCAAACTGTTTCCTTGCAACACAAACTGGAGACGCTTTGATCTGCAAAACAAGAAGTTTAAGAGCCCTACTAGCGAGGGCTCTTCAAGTTTTAGCAGCACTGTAAAGCAGTGAAATATTTGAAGCCTGATATTGTTTCATAGTGAGACTTTCCAAGTTACAGCAGCTGATAGTGTGTGTTACTGTCACACCTGTGCCAGGAATCACATGAAGATCAGCTAAAACAAAACACTGGTGAGCTGGAGAACCATACTGATAATTTTTCTAACAGTTTCCAAATGCAGTTGTTGGGGTTTTTTCCCACTTTTGCAGAGGGTTTGTTTCCGTGAGAAATGTTATCAGAGTCAACGTGAGCTTTCCACAAAACATCAGCTTGTCGGAAACATTTGCGGCAGTGAATTGTTTTGGGGAAAAACCCCCACGGTTTTGGGTGGTTCAGCTGAAGAGTGCTGCCTGTGCTTCTGCTCCCTTGGTCTTGCTTTTCCCTGGCCCATCTACCCTGTGCGTTGTCCCACGAGGGCTGTCTGGGGGCATCTGTGCAGGCACCGGTCTTGATTTGGGTCGGGCTGGAGCTGCTCACACATCTCTCCCTGCTTGGCTGCAGGCTCAGCGCTGGCGCAACGAGAACTATGAGAGGCCTGTGGACCTGGAGGGCTCTGGGGACGATGACCCCTTTGGGGATGATGAACTGGACGATGTCTACTCGGGCTCTGGCTCGGGGTGTAAGTAGCTGCAGAGTTCCTGGGAAAGGGTCCCTGGGGAACCTGGCCGTGGGTTTTGGTAGGACTGGAGAGGGGCTCACCATGGGATGCGAGGGAGGAGACTGCCCTCTATCCATCTCCAGAGCTGCCCTCCTGCCGTCTCCTAGACAAAAGCAAAGGGAACTGTCCCAAAGGTTGGGCTCAGGTGAATCCATTTCCCATTTCAGTCTCTGGCCTTACTGGGCAGGATCAGCCCTTCCCCAGCACAAAAACATGTGCCATGTTATAGAGGTTTTATTGACCCCAGAGAGGTGCTTCGGCCACCACATGGGAATTTGCAGCTTTTGGTTTCTGCTGAGCCTGGAACCAGTCCACGCTCTCATTTTTTGGGGGGCTGAGGCCAGGTGAATGTCAGCCCTGGGAAATGCTGGGGCGGCAGCAGCTTCACCCTTCGCTCTTCTCCCCCTCTTTCAGATTTTGAGCAGGAGTCAGGGCTCGAGACGGCAGTGAGCCTCACCACGGACACATCCATCACACTCCCCACCACAGCGGCCATGCTGCCCATCACCTCGGTGCAGCCCGTGGCAACTCCCTTTGAACCGTTCCCTGCTGAGGACACCACCCCCGAGCAGACAACCAGCGTCTTGTATATGCCCAGGACAACAGAGACACCAGTGATCCCCAGTTGGAAAGCAATCACCACCAGTACCACTGCCAGTGACTCCCCTACCACCACGACCACCACCACAACCACCACGGCCACCACTACCGCAGCCACCACCACCACCAGCACTACCATGGCCACTGCCAAGCTCACCACCGTCCGGAGGTTCCTGCCCCCCTTCATCACCAAGGCAGCCACCACCCGGGCCACCACCCTGGAGACACCCACCACCTCCATCCTTGAAGCCAGCCGAACAGAGGTGGCCACGTCACGGCTTGTCCCCCCCAGCACGGCCAAACCCAGGTCCCTGCCAAAACCAAGCACCTCCAGGACTGCAGACCTCACAGAAAAAAGCACTGCCTTACCATCCAGTCCTGCCACGCTGCCACCCACAGAAGCCCCCCAGGTAGGAGGCAGGAGCCCTTCTCACCTGCCAAAGGGCTTGTGGGCCATGTTTGAAGCCAAGCGATGGTGATGGGAAGCCTTTGGGGTTGACCTGTCCTTAGCCAGTTGCTCAGAGGGAGGTCAAGCCAGGTTGGGCTCTTTCCAGCTCTGTGGAGAGTGGAACATTTGGGGAGCTGGAGAGGGGAGATTAAAGGGTGGGAAGGGGTTTAGCACAGGCAGAGTATGGTGATGGGGCTGGCGTGAGAGCTGATGGGGGGCACCCAGAGTTATGCCACGCATCGCCGCTGCCCTCAACTCTGCTTTGCCCAGCTGCTCCAAAGCAGCTTCCCCAGGCAGGAGGGGAGCAGGGCTGGGAGTACCACTGCTCCATGGGGGAAGAGTAGCTTTCCTCTGGGTTTGGTGTCTGGGCTTATCCTACTTGCAGCCCATCAGTGGGAGGCCCAAATGCTCTGCAATTACAGCTTGACGGTGCATTTCCAGCCCGTAGGGTGTCCTGAGCAGGGGATTTAATCTGCTGATCCATCTCTCATTCAGAGCCCCTCAGGGGCCCTTTGAAAACCACTTTGACTGAAAGGTGGAGTGATTTGTCTAAACTAGTCCCTCTTTTCTGTGTACGTATATGTATGCATAGCGCTCTGGGCTCTCGCTGACCTTCAATTAATCTCTGTCACAAAAACGCCTGCTTGTGGGAAGCAGTGAGCCATGCGCTCACGCCGGGGGCACCGTGACATGGAGAGGGCTCCTACTCACCCGCCCCGGCTTTGGCCCACCGAGCAATTTGCTCATCCTGATCTGTAACATCCCGAGGGAGCAGCTTGCCCCGCGAAGGAAGGGTCCCGGGGAGGTTTTGCTCAGGGATGCTCAGTGCAGTCCAGCTCAGCATGTGGACACGTAGCAGGACAGGCTGCTGGGACAAAGGGAAAGGTCAGGGAGGATTTGGCCCTGAGGGAGCTGCGGGTATGGGGATGTGCAGGAGGCAATGAATAGGTCAGGGTTGGGCTGGAGGTGGATAGAGCAGCTCATCTGCCCGGCCCACGTTTGTTACCCAGGCTGGGTTCGCCTCCTTGCCAAGGGGGCTTGGTCAGGGACTACAGCAGGGAGCTGGGCTGACTCCGTGTCCTGGGTGAGAAGGACCCATCTTCCTGCTCCTGCCCTGTGCTGCAGGGCACCATACGAGCAGGTTGAAGAGAAAAAAGGGAGAGGGAAAGCACCCTCATGGGGCTCCTCCGTTGGCATCTGATCCTTACACTTGCTATGTTGCTGTAGCACAAATGTGCATCGCTTCATGGCTAGCAAGGAGGCATCTGTGAGATGTTTTAGCCAGCCATCGGTCTACTCTGGGGACAGAGAGCCCAAATGAGGGTCTGGGACGTGGGGGTCTCTTTAGGGGAAGCTACAGGGAACAGGTGAGAGTTTGTGCATCTCAAGGGCACCTGGGATGGGAACAGACAAGAATGGCCTAGCTCAGCCACAGTGGCCTCAGCCTTTTGGTGACCATCAAGATGTGGGGTTGTGTTGCTTGCTGCAATATAACCGCCCACTTCAGTGACACAGGGAAGGGACACCACAATGTTCCCTGCTGAGAGGGCCACCCTGTCTTTGGTACTGTGATGTCCTTCCTCTGGACACATCAGAGCTGCTGGAGGCAGGAACCACTCTTTGGTCCTTGTCCCCTGCTCCATCTTGTCCTTTCTCCCAGATGGAGCCAGGGGAGGTGACGACAGTCCTCGACAACGAGCTGGAGGTCCCGGTCAGCAGCGGCCCCAGCGGGGACTTTGAGATCCGGGAGGAGGAAGAGACGACTCGTCCCGAGCTTGGTAACGAGGTGATGGCTGTGGTGACGCCACCGTCGGGACCTGGGCTGGGCAAGAACGCAGAGCCAGGGCTGATTGACAACACGATAGACTCCGGTAACTCGGCTGCTCAGCTCCCCCAGAAAAACATCCTGGAGAGGAAAGAAGTTTTGATAGGTGAGACTAGAGGCTGTGGGCTTGCGGGGGGAAGAGCTGATGTGTTTGGGGGTGGGGGGGTGACAGACAGCTGGGCTGTCCAAGCCCCAGAAGAGGGGTCAGTCTTTGGCAGGACATTGGGGTAGTCTTGATGCACTGGGATAATGCACACTCGCCTCCTAGAATAGCTCCAGGGCTTGTGATGGGGGGTTCCAAGGGGTCTTCATGTCTTTGCCAGGAGAGTGCGGAGCTGTGCACAATTTGCTTTTGCTAGGATGAGTTTCCAGGAAAAAAATAGGATGTTAGTGGAAAGATGTGCTACGATGGTGACTGAATACCACCTGGCCACCTCCGACTGCAGGGGAGGAGATAGGTGCCCTGGGAGGACAACTTGTCCCAGCCAGAGGGACATCAGAGATGGGGTAGAGGTGTCAGTGACCCACCGCCGGCTAAAGGGAGCTGGAGGTGATGGCATGGCAAAGCAGCTATTGTTCTGGTGGGTTTTGGCTGAGCGTGGTGGGTGCTGGCAGGCACCCTAATGAGCAGCTCTTTGAGGGACATTCTGCACCCTCTTTGCATGAGGCTACAGCCTGTGCAGGGACCTCTCTCTGTGCCTGGGCTGCCTTGTGCCAGTCCACTGCCCACCGTGCAGCCACGGAGTAGATGCCTTTGGGTCCTACCCACCCTTCAGCGTCACTGCCCTCGGGAGCTTGTTGAAGCTCCTTGAGTCAAGCGATTGCATTAGCCCCTCACCTTCTTTTTCAGTTTTCTTAACCGTAGACTTCAGGAGAAAAGTTGCTCGCAAAGTTGCAAAGCACAAAACCAAGCTCCCAACCAACCACATCCAAAATGATCCCCCCCCCGCCCCCCTACTTTTTTGTGCTGAAAGCCAGGCTGGGGCTGCAGGGCAGCGCTGATGGCCATGCCACTTCTCTGTGTTGCAGCGGTGATCGTGGGCGGTGTGGTGGGAGCCCTCTTCGCTGCCTTCCTGGTCATGCTGCTCATCTACCGGATGAAGAAGAAGGACGAGGGCAGTTACACGCTGGAGGAGCCCAAGCAAGCCAACGTGACGTACCAGAAGCCTGACAAGCAGGAGGAGTTTTACGCGTAGAAGGAGTGCCCAGCGTGCCTCGCGCTCCCTCCCTCCCCGCTCCAAACTTTCCCTCCTCCTCTACTGCATCCAGTCTCTCCCTCTCTCTCTCTGTCTCTCTCTCTTTTTGGATCAGACTGTGAATTTAAAAAGCAAAACCCACAACAGCTAAAGGAGAAAACACATCTTCAGCATGATGGAAAATCAAGTGCCCAGAGCATCGCCGAGTTCAGACCGAGCACCGCTGGCCTTTCTGCAGCGGGAGGGACGGGGCAAGGAGCCAACGCCAAGGAACCTGTGCCTGGGAAGTGCCCTGGCGAGTGCAGGACGGGGCGGACAGGCTGCCGATGGCGAAAGTCACTGGGCTTTTCCCACCAACACGGTGGACTCTGGGATCTGGACACCTTCTGCCAGCCCTGGGGCGCAGGGGGGTTGGTTTGGATTTATCTTCCTTTTTTTTTTTCTCTTTGGAAAGGAGGAAGGTTTCTTTCCCTCTCTCTTGTTTTTATTTTTTATTTTCTCTTTGAATGGGGTTGGTTGCTTTGCAGGAATTACCTTGCTCCCTGCTTCTGTTCGAAGAGAGGACGCGACTCTCAAATGCGCTTCGAACCTTGAAAAAAAAAGCACAAGGGGCTGGAATACCTGATGCCCCGGAGTTTGCTCTTGGAGTGGGGACAAAAAAATAAATACAAACATGGCCAGTACGTTGGAAGTGATCTCCTTAGATCAACTCTTCGTAGAGTTTGTGGAGCAGCAAGAAGCTGCATTGGGATATCTCATGCTGCTGCCCTCCTGGCACCACCTCGCTTCACTGCATCGCCGTGCACAGCCAGAGACCTTAAATCTATAGAAACCGCGTGTCGCCGGCCGCTGAGGGGTTTGGTTGAGAAGGGACCTTGCTTTTGCTGGGTTTTCACTGTGACCAATAAAACTCAGCTTGTGCAGTACGACCAACAGCACTGGTTTTAAAACGGAGCGGGACATTGCTTGGCGGGGAGTGGACAGGGAGAGGAGTTGGAAGTGAAGACGCTAAATCCTCTCCCCAGTTCCTCCAGAGGGGATAACAAAGCTCTACAAGGGGTGAGACACAGCATGAGAAAAGAAATGCAAAGCAGAGGCAATACTCTTTATCGGGCAGGGGTCCCGGCTGGGCCACTCACACCCAGAAGGTGAGGAAGGCAGAGCTGTGGGTTTCCACCAGTCAGCCCCAGGGCAGGTTGGCTGCTACAGATCTTTTGCAAGACCCAGGATGGATGGTTTGTGTTTCTTTAGTTGTTGCTTCAATTCCAGTATAACCCACAGGGCACCCAGGAGAGCAATAGATCCTGGGAGCCATCATCACCCAAGTGCAGTGGTTTCCCCTCTGAGGCTACCAAAGGTGCAGAGCAGCAGGGCCTGATCCAGAGCCTAACTGTGTCTTCTAGAAAGGCTAGAAGTTTCGGAGCAAGCTCTCTGCGCGGAAAAGTCCATTAGATATTTCAATGAGTTGGCTTTTAATTAGCTGAAGCGCTGTTTGTGATGCAGTCAAGGAGCTTTGTTTTCGTGATGGCTGCGATCTCGATGGTGTCCCATGGAGACCTTGGCTTTGCTCTTGGAGCAATTTAAACAGGAACACAGAAGAAAAATTGGTTGCTTTGTCTCTGTTGCATCGTGAATTAACCTGCACAGGCACAGTAACACTTTTTCCCCTCAGGGTGTTAGTGGATATAGGGATTTATGACCCTGGTAAAGGCAGCGCTTCTTTATGTTAGGATTTTGAGAGACCAAATGCGTATATTTATATATATATATATATATATATAT